TCTTTTTTCCCTCAACAACCCTTGCAGATCCATCTACGAACCATTTCCCCCCCCTCCTTCTAATTCTTCTCCTTCTAAGTCAGCCCTTATCTTGGTTTGTAATTGTACAATTTCAGCGCAATCATGAGTGGGCTCCCCCAGTGTTTCCCCATATAGAAACTGAACTGGATTCTGAGCTGCCGTATTTCTGATCTCCAGGTCACGACAGTGTATTAAAATAGCTTTATATTTAAGAAGTCGTGCATCAGTGAGCCATGTTTCAGCCTTTGTCTGTAAAATGCTCCTCACATTGTGAGTATACACTACCAATGGTGCCCCAAAAGTTATCTTTTTTGGCTTCTACTAACACAGCTGTGGCCACAATAGCTTGTAAGCATGGGGACATCCCCAGCTGACAGGGCCCAAGAGCTTACATACATAACCCACAGGTTTCTTTGAGCCGGCCCAATCCTGTGTTAGTACCCCGTAAGCGGTATGATTACTTATGTCCACAAGCAGCTGAAAGGGTCTCTTTATGTCTGGCAGGCTCAGTACTGGAGCTACTATGAGAGCCTCTTTTAATTCTCTGAATTTTCTTTGTCTGTTTCAGTCCATTTAGGTTTGTCCGTGGTTAGTTTTTCATATAAAATTTTTACTTTCTCACTGTACCCCTCGATCCATTGTCTACAGAACCCCAGAAGCCCAAGTACTTGTCTTACTTCCCTTTTGACTGAGGAGAGGGTAATGCAATGATCCCCGCCACCCTGTCAGGGTCTAGCTTTTTCTTACCTTTAACCAACCAGTGTCCTAAATATATCACCTCGGGCTTGGTGACTTGCAGCTTAGATTTTGAAACTTTAAGGCTTTATCACTAAAAAGTTAAGGAGAGCTAGTGTGTTTGCTCTTACCCTATCTTCATCAGGACCCTCTATTAATAAGTCATCCACGTATTGTAATAGTTTTGTTCCCTCCGTCGGGACAAATTCACTTAATAATTGCTTGAGAGCCTGACCAAACAGATTCAGCGAATCCACAATCCCTTGAGGTAGGGAGGTCCACTTAAGTTGTTTACGGTTCATCTCTGGGTCCTCCCACTGAAATGCAAAATAGTCGCAACTCTCCCTTGCTAGAGGACAAGTCCAAAAGGCATCTTTCAAGTCTATTATGCTATACCAGATATCATTTGGTGACACATTATTGAAGAGTGTATAGGGATTTGAGACAGTGGGAAATGAGGTTTTTTTCGCTGGATAACAGCTCTTAGATCCTGCACCAAGCGATAACTCCCGTCCGGTTTACGGACCGCAAGAATGAGAGTATTACGTCTAGACATACACGGCTCCAAGGTGCCCTTTTTTTATTAGATCCTCAATTATTGGTTTTAACCGCTACCTTCCCTCCATGGATATTGTTTGACCCTAATAGGGTCTTCTGGTCTCTCAATTTCTATGTGTATAGCTTCCATTTCCAACTTCCCCGCCTCCCCTTTTTGTGCCACAATTTAGGGTTTATTTTTCCTTCATCCTCAGCAGAGAGCTTATACAAGCTTACCATAAGCTGAGAGTCTTGTGCAATTAGACTAATACCCAAATTCACTATTAAGTCCCTCCCCAACAAATTATAATCTGCTTCTTCCACCAATACTATATTCCCCAAACACAATTTATTTTCAGACTCGATTTCCACATCTTTAATTACCGGTACCTTGAAAGGTTCCCCCTTTGCCCCAGTTACCATCATGGAATCCTTGCTCTTTGTGCATCCTTGTGGTAGGTGTTGGACCGTACTCCTTTTGGCCCCTGAATCTACCAAAAACACCAGTTCCTGCTTGTGGGGTCCTATTTTTAGTTTTATCAGGGGCTCCTTTGGTGTTGCAGACCCCATGTTAAAAAGCCCCTGACACCTCTAGTCTTCTTGAAAAATTTTCTCGTCCTTCATTCTCTTTTTACATTCCATCTTAAAGTGACCTCTTTGTTTGCAGTGCAGGGAGCACTCTGGTGCTCCCTGTCAGGGTGCAGGCCTCCTTGTTGGATATGTGGGTTTCCACTTTTTGTGCCTGACCTGTTTTCCTGGTGTTTGTGTCCCGTTCCTGTTTTTGTGCTTCCCTTACCATCGCCACTAGGACCTTTGCCTCTGCCTTCTGCTTTTCATCCTCCCTCCTCATATAAACTTTTTGAGCCTCCCGCAATAATTCCTGTAACATTCTTTCCTGCCAATTTTCCAATTTCTCCAATTTCCTCCTTATGTCCTCCCAGGATTTAGCCACAAATTGTGTTTTTAATAAAATGGCTCCCACTGGAGAATCCAGGTCTGTTCCCGAGTACATTTGGAGAATTTTTCTTAACCTCCCCAGCCACTCGGTAGGAGTTTCGTCCCTCCCCTGGCATTCCCCCAGTGCTTTACTCAGATTTGGCTCCTTTGGTAGACCCCCCGGATACCCTGAATCACTGTATTTCTAAAATCTATCATCTTTTGCCAGTCCTCTTCTGCTTGTGCATTCCACGATGGCCTTTGACTGGGCCATTTGACCTCCCCACTCCCCCCTTGTGGGTTTCAGTTTTCCCAATCCTTTATTGCTGCCACCCTTATCATATCTCGTTCTTCCACATTAAACAAAGACCTCATTATGGCACTAATATCGTCATATGAATAAATACTGTTCCCCAAAAACTCATCCAACCTCTCCGCCACTCCCAACGGATCATCCATTATTTTTCCCATTTCCTTTTTGAATGCACGCACATCCCCTGAGTTTATTGGCACATTCCCATATCCAATGACTCCTGAGCTGTTGGGACTTCCCTGAGGGGAAAGAGACTCTGCTGTCCTTCCTTGTCCTCACTATCATCTGCATTAACCTTCCGAGTCTTGTGTCTCATTCAGCTGGAGGGCGGGACTCGTTCCCCATGGATATGTGCGTGTGTGTGTGTGTGCTGTGTTCCCCCTGGTTGCATAGGAGGGGCAAGGGGAACTGTTTGTTCATGTGTGAGCGGCATCGCCGAAGCTTGCCCCTGTAGAGGCATTGCTTCGGATGGTGGCGCCTCTGGCTTGCCTGTTGATGTGCGGGGTTCGTGGGTTCGGAGAGGGGACTCTGCACCTGGGGATTCGGGTATGAGGGAGGGAGGTTTTCCAGGGGTTCCCAGTTTTTTGCAAGGTTCTTAGGTTGTTTATAGGTTTTTACAGGAAATAACCCAGTGCTGGCGTACTCCCATAGTTGTGCATACTCCCTTTCCTCATTTGTTGAGCCCTTTTCCTCCAACACAAATTCTTCCAATGCCCGACACGTTTCCTGTTGTGGTGTGTTTCTTATATTTTACCTCGGTTAAGTTGTAAATTGGTTCGTTCCATGTACCCCTTTATTTGTAATGATTCTGCCCTGGTTGTCCCTCTCCTTGCTCGCCCTGTCAATCCAGTTTTCCCCTCCCCGTTACCATTGGCAACCCATGTATCTGTTCCTGAGTCCCTCCCTGGTGCCCTGTCCATCACTCAGTGGCCCATCCCTTCCATCTAGAATCTTCCAGTCAGGGCATCGAGTGATTGGTTCAGGGGCCAGGGCCCCTCCCCAGGCTTTTCCCTATTGGTTGTCCCACTGTGTCTGTCACCCTCTCCTCACTCCCACCTTCCCGTGCATTGGCTGAAGACCAGACTCCATTTCTGTATCCTCCTCTCTTTATAAACTAATGTCAGACGCCATTCAGGATCTTCAGCAGTCAGTCTCTCTGGAGTTAATAAAACTGGACTATACTGCAGGCAAAGTCTGTCTCTTTCTTTCTGTTGAGTAGCAGCCCTCTCATTGCAGATCCTCGTCCCTTAGAGCGAAAGCCTTAGGCGCCCTCCTGACTGGACCCAGGATCGGGAGAGTGCCCCAGTGCTGCTGGTGGTGCTGGCCACAGCTAGCAGGGACATCCCGAAGGGACGATCGTCTTCCCTCTTTGAGGCCAGCCGCCGCTGCAGTTTCCTTCCCAAAAGTCCTAAACATAGACCAATATAAGTATTGCTTGACTTTCACATGAGCCTATTTCTCCACACAATAATATATCATTTTCTCTTTAGACCTCCCCCTCCTCGTGGGGCAATCCTCCCAGTGTTCCAACATCCACCCAGAGAACTGTTTCTTGGTATATCGGGAACACAATATTTTTCCACCTTTTCTGGTTTCCCCTGGGTTTTCCCTTGTAGTTTACTCTTTTTCAATCCCATGTTTCTTAATTTTGCCTACATTTTCCTTTTTGGGTAGATGGGCTCCCAAATAAATCTGTTTTCCTTTTATGGATACACACCTTGATTCTTAGTTAAAAAAACTTTTGCCCACCTACTTGTCATACAATGAACCAATCTGTAGACTTCCGATTGACAAAAAAGCAAGTGTTCTCTTACCTTTTCCCTGGATCTAACGAAGTTCTGTTGTTCCTGGTCATCGATGGACCTTCGTCCTCCCTCTGATCCAGCCCGTGCTTGAAAAAGACCCCCTTTTCCTCCCCTAATTCCCGGGATTTTGGGTTGGTGTATGTGTGTGCTTTTAATGAGCTTTTCACCTGCTTCCCCCGCGACCGACCACTTTCCTCGCGGAAGAGTGGAACTGCGATCTTGGGGTCCACACTCACTTCGTAATAATATCACGTCTCACACACACACTCGCTCACTCCCCACTCAACCACACAATACTTATGGTCCTTTTCCTGCGTGGAATCTTCATGCACATAGTTTTATGAGCGAAAAATTTCTGCCAGCTTCAGAGAATGACTCCATTTTCCTAAGAGCTCAGGGCCTGTTTTTAATCTTTTGATTGTGGCTTTTGGCTAATAGTTTGTGTTATCTGATTGGTTCCGTTGGGCTTTTCCCAATCCTGTCCAGCCGCTGAACTCAGCGGGGTGCCACCCAGACCTGGAGTGGGGACCTGGAATGTGATATTAGATCACATCAGGGTCACCAAGATTGTTATAAGTAAAAATAAAAATTGACCCAATCATAATAAAAATAAAAACCAAAAAATTTATTTGCGATTGTATTACAGTTCCGACAGCCACCAATCAAAAATGACAGCGCAGACCCCAGGGATACAGGCAGGGTGGACGCGGCTCTGGCCTCTATCACACCAAACCCCCCCTCTGTCTACACTCGCTGCTCCGCAGGGACAGCTCTTATACTGTTTTTCTTGCCCGCGGCAGAGTCCCTTTGTCTCCCTTCAAAGTTCATCATATTCATGTTGGTTTCTTTCTTCACTCAAAGCTGCACAAAACCTTGTCCGGAAAGAGACACATGTTCCTCCCCCAATTTCCATAATCCTGTATTCAGGTGGAAGGTGCTGATGGCGCTGGTTATCTCAGATGTGTATCTTCATGGGCCATCATCACTGGGTGTCCTCAGGCACGTGCCACAGTGAACGACCATCTCCTGTGCAGCCGAGTTTCCGTCCTATGTTAATGCCAAGTTCCACCCTCGTCAGCCAGCCGAGGTGTCACTCTAGGCTTAAACCCTGGGTCCTCCCTTTAATAGCATGCTTGATACATATATCTGTAATCCATTGGCACGAATTTCTATCATATCCCTAACAGTGATCAACTATTACAAGAAGGTATTTCCATCTCTGTATTCTGGGGAACTCAGTGTAATCTATTTGCATATTTTGAAAGGGTCTAAGGGCTAGGCTCTTTCCTCACTAGGGTGTTTTCTCATCACTTTCTTATTTATCTTCTAACAAATTGAGCATTGTTCAATCTCTGGTTCCTGTATAGACTCCCTCAAAGAATTAAGTTCTTAAGAACTGATCACACAGTGCTTGGTGTATTCCTTGGTGTAGCTTAATTAAAATTTCTCTAGCAATTACTTTATTCATTATCTGCCTCCCTTCCCTGCCCAGCTGCGACCAGAACTACAGCAAAAGGGAAGTGCCTGCAGCCAAGGGAGGGCTGTGGTTGCGGATCTGGTTCTTTTTGTTGTTGCTGCCACTGCTGTTTTTGTTTGCCTTGTTATACATACTAGTAAAGGACTGCTACTCCTTTCCCATATCTTTGCCTGAGAGCCCATCAATTTCAAAGTTAGAGTAATTTGGTGGGAATGGGGTCACTTTCTTCATTTCAGAGAGGTCCTGCAGACACCTATCTTTTCAACCAAGACAAGCTGAAATTAATGATTTATATTCAATTGTTTAATTAAGTGTTGCAGCCCAGGTTTATTTTGTTAGTATATTGTTAATGTTAGTAGTTGTTTCAATGCACCCTTGTATTTTCCCCAAGCTGGTTTGTCCCTGAGTTGTATCCATCCCTGAAGCTGCCCTTTATGGTATTCCAGGCTCCTTCCCTGCCTGTCAGTGTAACCCTGCCCCTTCTTCCTGAGTCTTCCCTGTCACTGCCACCTTGAACCAATCCCTGATGGTGCCACTCCTCTGAAATTCTCCTAAATCTGGATGCCCCACTGGCCCATGTGACCTGCCCTTTCCTCCCACCTGCCCCAACTGGCCCCAAGCAAGTGACCTAATCCCCTCACTCCTCCCCCAAGGATTCCTCCTTGGATGTCTGTCTGTATCCTCCCACCAAGTTTGTTGCTGTATTTCAACTCAAGCACAGCAGTGCTCAGGGCTCTTCTGCTCCTGATCCTTTCAACAAATAAACCTTTTTCTGCTAGAACCTCAAGACACAGAGCCTCTTCCTGTCTCTACCTGACCTCTGTCCTGGGTTGAAGACTGTGTACTGTAGAGCAAGCAGCTCTAAAGGTTCCACCTTTGGTAATTCCCATACCAAGGTAGTTCCCCACTCCTGGCATGGCACCAGAGTTCTACATTAAACTAACCTGGGTTCCAGTGGTTATATCAATTAACTAACAATTAATTAAGAATTATCCAAATATAACTTAACTAATTTTGGGTGGGAGACCATCAGCAGCAGAAGGCACGATGTTGCTGTCTCCTTCCAGATGCTCCAGCTGGCACCAGTGCTGTCACTCAGGTGCTGGTTTCCAGTGCACCTTCTTCTTGGGTCTCGGGCCATCCTCTCTCCGCCGTAACGCAGAGCGTTTCGGTTTACCAAAACTCTTCTTCTCCCGGGCTCTGCCTTTCAAAATCACCCGCACTTTCTTCTGAGTTGGCCTCAGGTTAGGAATCCTAGGAAGAAGGGGACTGGTATTAGCCAGAGGAACATTTCCAGCCAGCTGCTTTTCTGTCTCCTTGCAGAGCACACAGTGTTGCATCCTCTCTCTGTGCAAGCAGCGAGCAGCAGATTAAACAACTGCACTTGCTGCATGGAGGCTGCAGAGGTGCAAGGGCAGGAATGTGACCAGTTAAATGCCTGGGAACCAACTACAGCACACAGGGTTCCATGTAGAGAAGCAGGCCTTGCTTGTCCCAAAAGCAAGCAGAGCTAGGGACAGGCTGGTTCCCAGATCTCTCGTTTCAGATTTGCAACCCTCCAGGAGCTTGATGTTTCACACAGTGTCTTTCCCCAGTGTCTCCCTACCAAGGCCAGATGATGATCCTTCTGTGCTCCTGTGGGTGTTTCTGCTGCCTCTCTGGGGCTGCCTGACTCCAGGCCCACCTCCCCATCCCAGTCAGAGGGACTGAAGGGAGGGTGTTAGGGGCTGAACCAGGCTGTGCTTGGTGATGCCCAGCAACAGGACAAGAGGCAATGGGCGGAACCTGAACAGGGAATTCCACCTGAACTGAGGAAGAACATCTTTCCTGTATAGGTGACAGCTTGCCCAGAGAGGGTGTGGAGTGTCCCTCACTGGAATTATTCCAGAGCTCTCTGGACACAACCCTGTGCTCTGGGATGACCCCACCTGAGCAGGGAAGTGGGACCAGATGACCTACTGTGGTCCCTTCCACCCTGCCCCACCCTGTGATTCAGTGATACCCATCGGTAGCATGAGCTGGCGGAGACGCTTCCCACCTGCACAGCATGGTGGTCTCAAACTTCCCCGCGCACTTCGGGGCGAACCGCACGTGGAAGGTCTGCTTCTGGCCAGGAGCAAGGGTGCCACGGTAGGGGTCGATGGAGAACAGTGCCAGGTCATCAGTGAAATCTGGGAAGATTTCCATGGAGGAAGTGACGTGCTTCAGAGAGAGGTGCTTTTCCTTTGAGCGGCGTCGCTTCTTGGAAGGGACTGGCTTCTTGGGCTGCTGCTGCTGCTCAGGCTGCTGCTCGGGCTGC